CGTTTGTCTCTCTCTCCAAATATGTAATTGTTGATACCGTTGTGAGTTTGAATGGGGAACGTCTTCAAAATCCTCGAGTCCTGATTGTCTTCATATTCCACGGCCTGGGCGATCAGGTCTGTATACAACAACACAAACCTTCTCCCTCTAGTCAGATCAACTGCATACGGTGATGTGAAAAGACCAGGTTGTATGGTCACGGATTCTGCAATCGATCCCAAGCCCAGAACGACACTGGGGGAGTCGGGTTTCAGGATAATTTTTTTCCCGACAGGTACGCTGATGCTCGCTCGGCTTGTATAGCGGGAATAGGAAAACACAATATCTGGGTGATTTGCACTTTTCAGTGCCTCGTTAATGACTGTAATGAGATCTGCAATATCCGTGTGAGTTCCTGTTAGGATGGAGAGTTGAACTTCCCCTTCTTGCGTCTCCACGTACAATTTGTTACTCTCCGTATCAACGTTTTCAGAATGAAGTTCGAACTGGGCAGTGTCCAAACTGATGTGTTTCCCTATGGTATTCAAAGACCTGATACGCAGTGTAAAATGAGGCGTGAACGCACCGGCTATAACGGCAGAAGCGTTGTTTACTGCAGACAGTACCACCGCCATACCTACTGTACAGGGGAAATATTTCCCCATAATAACAAGGATGGCGTTTTGGAGCATGCATTTCCACAAGAGCCCGTCTGAGGAAACCTCCAGCCGAACAATAAGAACCTTGAAGGATGATATTGCGCAACTCAAAACTCTGGTGGGTAACGATAACACCAAAAACACCCTGATGTACAATGTCGGGGCACTACAGAACAGCAAGTTGAATAAAACAGATGCTGAGATCATGGAGGGTCGAATCAAAGAATTCGCGGAGTCAACGGTGATAGATGACGAAACCCATTTGAAAACGGATGGCAGCGTGAGGATGAGAGGAAATCTGCACATGAATGGCAAACGTTTATGCTGGCTGGATTACGACGGTGTGTCGGACACCTGTGCTGTACCTGCTGGGTGGGTGAAGAAGGAATTAGCCCAAATCCGCAAAATGAAAGGTCCTAAAGGTGATCCAGGATTTGGTTGGTATAGCGAAGCAGACCCTCCGTCGCCACCCATCGGCAGACAGGGTGACTTCTATTTGGATGCTACCACCCTCGTTGTATATAAAAAACTCATTGCGGGTTGGACTGCATTCGGATCACTTAAAGGACATCGAGGAAGACCAGGGGTTCCTGGACCAAAAGGAAGTCCTGGCCCGACTGGGGAATCTGGATTGCAAGGTTTAAGGGGCCACACAGGACTGCAAGGACCCCAAGGGCCATCAGGACACATAGGTGCTACAGGGCCGCAAGGACCCCCAGGAAACATAGGGCCCCAAGGACCTGAAGGATCGCCAGGCCCTCAGGGTGACGTGGGACCGCCGGGGCCCAGAGGTCCTCGGGGCCACAGTGCAAAGAGTCTTCCAATACTTTTTCCATAATACGAAAAACCAGAGTGAGATTATAGAAATGTTTCCTTTCTTTTCAATTCAACGAATTCATGCAATGGATGGTTTGATTACGGTTGAAATTGACTGTATGATTCATAAAGAACAATATTCTCCAAGCAAGTGATGATACGTGCACCTTAAATCAGTTTAGAATGCCTGCACAATGGTGGATAGTATATAGATCAATGCATCTGGATAGTCATCATAAGCCAGTGAGGCAGCAAGTGGTAGCTTCGGTTCAACTCCATAATGTTGGATGAGTTCAATCATTAGCTGTTCTTCTTGCTCTGTCATATCCACCGTCCTCTCAATAAACCGTTCAAAGTGAGCCTTACGTAGTTTCTTTGGGGTTATGACCTTCATCCACATTTTGAAGAACACTGGGGAAGTCTTGAATAGGGAAGCATTTCTCATCCATGCATCTTTGCTTCTGGGGAGATGAAGACTGAGTATCTGCACCATCTCTTCATCTTCATAGTAAATGCATGACAGGGCGATGGCATAATTCAGAGCTCTATACTCACTGCCCTTCTTCATAGCGTAGAGGCGTTGCCGAGTTTCAAAAAGCGATGGGTATAGCGGCTTACACACTCCCACCTTCTCGATAAAAGCCCCCAGACTTTTATCCACTGATTCCAGTCGCTGCACATCTGTGTAAGGCTTACTGGGCAGCATTACACGCTCTGCTACATTTGCCTCTGGCGCAAACAAAGAGCCCAAGACTAGACCACATTTCATGCAAACGACAGCTTCTTCCGTTTCTATTTCTTCATGGTTACACCCATCACAAAATTCAACTTCCTCCTGAAACTCCATGGTGCCAAATGCAACTGTAATGATCCTGACGCATTACTTTATCCCTTCCACTAATTGTTATCGGCCAATCAGCATACTCTCGTCACCTCACATCCAATCAGCATACCCCACGTCACACTAAGGTTACACACACTTGTGTCATATATGCGAAAAAATGGTACTGGATCATAGCAAAATCCTCCTGGATAATGAACAAAATAACGATTAAAACACAATACACAATAACGACAACAACCGACAACAACAACCAACAACAACCGACAACAACCAACAACAACCAACAACAACCAACAACAACCAACAACAGCCAACAACAACCAACAACAACCAACAACAACCAACAACAACCAACAACAACCAACAACAACCAACAACAACCAACAACAACCAACAACAACCAACAACAACCAACAACAACCAACAACAACCAACAACAACACCAGCATTATAATGCATGGATAGTGCATGCAGGGTCAGGGACTGAAAGTCGCACGCTAAGTAAGGGCAACTTGTCAGTGCACATCTACGATGTCCGAATAAAACGAATGCAAGGAAAGTGAACTTGTTGCTGTACATCTACGAAGTGCGAATCAGGGATTAGTATAATGACACGTGTACTAGTCCACCTTGTGTTGCACTGCGTCTTTTCCGCAGGGCCACTGAAGGTCGCACGCTCCGCGTGCGTATGCGCGCATGCGCAATATGTCACTGCACATCTACGATGTTCAAATCAGGGAGTAGTACGTATTTTACTACTGGTACGAATGCACCGAACGTGCACAAGTGCACGTTCGCCACGGAAAAGAACATGATGACATTTATGGCATGACAGGGTCAAAGGTCAAACCCTGGGGGAGTCCCGGGGCCAGACCAAGCGCGCCCGATACAGTGTGCCTTATTTAACCCAAAGGTCAAAGGTCAAACCCTGGGGGAAGTCCCGGGGCCAGACCCAGCACGACCGACACAGTGTGCCTTATTTGGCCCAAAGGTCAAAGGTCAAAAAGTGTGCCAGAACCTGCCCCGCACTTACTACTCACATTGCTGGACGGTAATAATTATTATGGTATGGTATAGTGACTATACTATAGTCAAATACTCATTTACTCTACATATGCGCTGAATTACACCTACCTGTACCTACCTGCACGTTCAGTGCGCGCGCCATAACAATTTAGTGTCCACGGGTACAAAGATGGAGGTTCTTGTAGAATTTCCAATGATTGATGAATTCTGATTGGGACACATTCAATTACCTACTAGTACAGAGATGTCTTGGTCAGAAAGTACAGAATCTGATGTCTTACTATCCTGCCAGAATTTGTGCATTATTTTGGTGTACGCTTTCTTGACCCCACGCTTGTACGTTGCATGACATGGTATACTAGAGAACGGGTGTATTGACAAAGCCTATCGCGTGAAACGATACAGTATGGGTTCGGGTGTGATCAAATGCACGCATCCTGCTCATAAACTGTGTGCAGTGATCTCTTCACCAACAGAACACTACCATACTTTGCAGATCTTGTACCAATCCCAGGGATAATGAAACACAAAATTGATGTGTTTGAGTCACGCATGAAAATATGTGATAAGTACTAGCACTATAGTACAACGTTTTTCGTGCCATGCCTGACAACAATAAGTAAGTTGCACGCAAAACATTACGCGCATCGATCCTCACAAGGCAAGTCAAGGCACACTCGGAGCAAAGAGAATTGGTTTGTGTCATGCATGAAATTTGTTATAACTACCAGTACATTTTTTCTTGTGCGACGCCTACTGTAGTGCACCTGACAACAATAAATTTCTCCAAAAAAATTATCGTATCATATTGATGCGCGATCCTCACAACACAAGTCAAGACAAACTAATTGAGGCTTACCTAATTTCAGACTCTTCTGTCACTGGCATTGGCGGCTTCTGCATGTCGTGATAACTTCGAAGAGCAGTAGTGGGTACAGCCTGATGCAAGGTTACGATCTCGTAAACTGGGAGGTCCGCTACGAAAGAAACCTTGGGCTATCTTCTCGACAGCGACGGCAGCATCTTACCAGAAAAATCATTCCCGCGGGCTGGGCATGGCTATACACCTTTGTCCACACTCGCACCAGTCGGAGTCCCAAACGAATCGAGAGTCTGGTGGCCAAGCTACTCGTCTTCTTCTGTCGGACGCAGCTGCTGAGGCATCTTCTTCCTCAACATTTGTTACACGCGATGGCAGCTCCTTAGCAGAGTATCTGGGCTCCCTGCCCCAACCATATGCGGCGGTGGGTTGATGGTGGTCTTCACTGACCTCAGCATTGCTGCTTTCATAGCTGGGTACAAAGAATAGTTCGGAATAGCTCATCATTCTTTCCTTGAAATTGAATACTAAAAGAGTGCACCTAGATTCACACCGTGCCACAATGATGTAGGCAGGCCGGGATGACATACCCAAATGGTCGCATGACGTCATGGCGCGGCCCCCGTTTTTGCCAATATCTCAAGAACGCTTTGCCGTAGAGACTTCGGACCAAGACCATTCGACTCAGCACCCGAGACTACAGGATATGAAAGTTTCATTTTCCGTGGAGTTCCCCTTTAAGTTAAAACATGTTTGCTTGCAATGTTTATGATACGAGTGCGCACTTGATTCTATTCATCGGCATAATTATGATTGTTATTTCCACGCTGCCAATTGAACTAAAAGTGGGACTTACAATTGTCAAGGCGAGAAGATCTGAACCCGCTCGAAGCAGAAATTCTATAGCCTCCGGCGAGCCTCGTCCACAGGCTGAGTGCAATGGTGTTTCTTGATCCTGGAGTAGGGAGAGGTGAGAACGTTGAAGATATTTTGTTTTGGGGAAACAACAAGGGAAGGGACAGAGAGACAAACGACTACATGATTGATCACGGCAAAAGAGAGACAGGGAGAGGGAGAGTGAGCAAGGGAGAGAGCTACAATTTAGATAAAAGGCCTGATTGCCTATGACCAATACAGGTGCACAAGCATCTGCTATGCAGGAACTCATCAAGCTTTGTGTACTGGGTGCAGACCAGCAAGAGAAAGTTTGTACTAAGAAACAGTATGCAGAAGATGGAAACCTTACAGTTTGTTCAGGTTCTGAACAGAGTACTAACTTACTACTAGTAATCAGGAAATGTTATGCGTCAAAAGAGACCATGTCTGAGAATACCAAAGAATGTGCCCTTCTGGCTTCACCATAGCAGGGAGGTACTGCCAATTGGTGACTCAGCATTTATGGAGGTTCGCGTCCTTGCAATTGAGTCGCATTGGGCCAGGAGGAGGAGGATACGCAAAGCGATAAAAATTCGGGACATGGGCCCGAGAATAAAAGCCAACGCAGGATTGAACCTTCTGTAAAGGCATTCCTGATACAAATTACTGGCCCAGTACTTGCTTCTCTCGGATAGTGAATTATTTGTCTACTTCCATAAACTGCTGTTGCCAGCACCCGCAATTATGTGCACATGTACATATTTATAAAATTTAAAAAGGACCAAGAAACTACAAGTTACCCTATAATGCCCACTAACACCATCAGTTACTAAACAATCAGCTCATTCAATAACATTACTAGCCAGTTAGTTGTAGAACGTCAGTGCCGTCGGTCAGTGTCGTGCAATGTTATCGCATGAGCTGATTGTTTAGTAACTGGTGGTGCTGGTGGACATTATAGTGTATCTCGTAGTGTCTTGGTCCTTTTTACTTTGCATAAATAATCCTTGGCTCTCCATCCGAGTTCATAGATGTACATAATACACGCACATGTTCTGCTTGGTGCATGTGGAATGTTTTACAGTTGTCACGTATCATGCTTTTGCTGTACCAGTTTTGTGTTTGTTTCTGATGTTTCCTCAACCTCTTTTCTCTCTCTCCATAGTTCATGCATGTATGAATATTATCTCCCCACAGCACTGTTCATTATCAAACCTTTTCCAGTGGTGACCATGCCCAAATTCATTCTTGATGTCCTTGTTGCTATTATCATTTCTGATGATGGGTATTTTATGACGGAAACAATTACCGGTAAATATTTTCCTGATAATACGCAGAATCATATTATGATTCTGCGTGAGTCTGTGTTGCTCACAATCCACTTTCACGGAGCAGTGCCTACATCTTGGAGGTTCCCTGGCCACCTTCGCCGATGATACAACGGTCTACAACTGTATTAGATCACCCGAAATGCTCCCATACAGTAAGAACAGCTTACAAGCTACCCTGGATGCGCTCAATGACTGGGGCAGGAAGTGGCGGATCAAGTTTGATCCCACAAAGTCACAGCTCATGACGATAGCCCATCAGCGACACAGGTGGCCTATCATGGACCTCACGTTTGGAGATCACACTTTCTGAGCTATCGGAGGTAAACCGCCTCGGCATCACATTTGACTCGGGCCTCTCCTTCAAGACCCACCTCCACAACACAGCACTCAAAGCGAATTCTCGCCTGGGCTTCCTGCGCAAAGCTGCTCGCGTACTCGATGGTGCTGGTAAACGAACCATCTGCAGAGGATTTGTGGGGCCAGTCCTAGAGTATGCGCCATTGGTATGGATGGGAGCCGCTTCTGGCCATCTGCGCCTTCTCGATCGAGTGCAGAGACGCGCCCTCCACATTATTGGCCCTGATGTCCTCCTCCAGAGTTTGGCAGCAAGGAGATTGGTCGCCACCCTCAGCTATATGTACAAACTGATGTGTCTGGCAGGGCCACCGCAAATAACGATGCTGGTCCCCCCCCCCACCCCCCCCCCCCCACCCCCACAGCTTTCTCCACCAACATGTCCTCGAACTTGATCCGATCACTCGGTGCGCCAAGAGTCTCAGCTACAGAACGTCCTCCCGGCTTCCTCTCCTGATTACATGTGAAGTTGCTTCCCCCACAGCATCATTGACGAGTGGAACAACTTGCCCCCAAATGTGCTGTAGTCTCTGCCACGCCTGACGGCCCTCCAGTCGTTCAAGGGCAAGGTGCATCAGCACCTAAGACAAAGCCGCTGGTATTGGGCTACATACTCGCTGTAACACCCCATACTACATACTCGCTGTAACACCCCATACTACATAGTCGCTGTAACACCCCATACTACATACTCGCTGTAACACCCCATACTACATACTCGCTGTAACACCCCATACTACATACTCGCTGTAACACCACGTACTACATACTCGCTGTAACACCCCATACTACATACTCGCTGTAACACCCCATACTACATACTCGCTGTAACACCCCATACTACATACTCGCTGTAACACCCCATACTACATACTCGCTGTAACACCCCATACTTCATACTCGCTGTAACACCCCATACTACATACTCGCTGTAACACCCCATATATCCACAATAAGCTCATCCCGCTCACTTGTCTATTTACATGTGTTTCGTAATCCCGTCCATGGTGTGCTGGATAGCGCTAACACCGAGACCCTAGGCCGGCGTTGCTAGTCCCGCCTCACCGGCACAGGCTCCCTCTAAAACCCTACTAGTTCATTGTCTGTCTTTCCCCTCGGCTGCAGGCAGTAATGCGCGATTGAGGCCTTCCTCCGAGGCCTTTGTTGTCTTCAACATTGCGCCGTCAGTTTTTTCTGCCGCCGTCTTGAGTGTGGCCCCTGATTTACTTGCTTTGGCTGTTTCTCAGGTCGTCGGCCAGGTCCTTCAGCCGCTGATGGAGCGAGTAGAGCAGTTGGAATATGCTGCAGCCGTCGTGCCGCCTGGCAACTCCAGCTCGGTTCATGCATTGGGCCATCCGCCGGCTGCTCATCCGTCACTCTCTGTACCTGATAACCTCTGCGGGCGAATTGAACGCGGCGAGCTTATTGATTTCGACGACCTCCTCCCGGACCATTCATCTTCAACTGGCTGGCAACGGCTATCAACTGGGTCCTTGTCCATGTCGGCTCCTTGCCCGACGTAATGCACTTCCTCGGCATCTGCCTACCAAGCTCCTTCCTGGTGGCCAAGCACAATGCCATCATCTTGGACTTGTTCCAGTTCTTGAACGTATCTGTCTCCACACAGAAAGTCCCTTCCACTGTCCTCACCTTCCTCGGTTTGGAGCTGGACACCGATCGCTTGGAAGTGTGTCTGCCTCAGTCCAAGCTTCTGGCCCTACGTCGTTTAGTCTCTACCACCCTCGACAAGGGTTGCGTTCTCAAACGCGAACTCGCCTCACTCCTGGGCCACCTCTCGTTCACTTCCCAAGCAATTCCTGCCGCCCGTACATTCTTACGCCGCCTGTATGACCTCGACAAGGCCACATCTGAGATGTCATCTCACCGAATGCTGCACCTCTCAGCCTCAGCCAAGGGCGACCTGAGCTGGTGGCACCAGACTCTGTCAACATGGAACGAAAAGTCATTGTTCCTGCTAGAGAAGTGGATGACCTCCAGTTGCAAACCTACGCAAGTGGCACCATTGGATTTGGAGCCTTCTTCAGTGGTCGCTGTTTCAGAGGTGACTGGTCTTCGCAACAACTGGAACTAAGCATTACCAACAAGGAGCTCTTCGTCATTGTCGCGGCCTGCGCCACATGGGGGATCGAGTGGCTGCGGCTGCGTGTGGAGTTCCAGTGCGACAACTAAGCTGCCGTGGAGTGCCTGAAGACGGGCACGTGCCGGTCTCCTGCAGTCATGGCACTCATCCGCACCCTGTACTCAATCTGTGTGATGCACAATTTCCTAATCCGAGCATCGCACCTGCCAGGCATTTCCAATACCATCGCCGATGCCCTGTCCCGGAAGAAGATGGATGCCTTCAGGACATGTCGGCATGGGCACTCCTCCTTAAGGAGGTTCGCGACGGGTAGCGCCATGTTAGATTTCCGAATTTTTTCTGAAAAATAATGCCTTTCTGAGTGGAAAAATAGGACGCTATCATGCACAGAAAATAGTTTGACCATGGCTTCGCAGCGCGTGCTCGAGTCGAGACAAGATTTGAGGAAGAAGCTCAGCCACTAGTGGACTTGCGGATGTTTTGACATTGGCGGTTTTTGGAAGCTCGGTTCTCCTGCCGACGTGTCGTGGAGATGAAGACGCGGGAGAGTAATCCGTCACCCACGACGCGGCCTCTCATTCTGCGTACTGGACGATGCAAGAAGCCGAGGAGGGGGACGCTTCGCAAACTCAAACGATCGATCAAGTTCCTGAAAAACGGAAAGGGCGATCTCCATCACTAACGCCACTGGATTCGACTCCCCGCGAAGAGGTCGTTCAGTGCCCCTCTTCACGGTCGACGAATCGTTCATCTCAGGTATCTGGCTGTGGGATTGTCTGCGTGCCAGAATCCTGGATGTGGCAAACCTCTGGCGCTCATTGATTGCGTTGAAGAGAAGAGGTACAACCTGGGCAGCGTACTTGTCATTCCGTGTCAGCAGTGTGGGATGGAGAATTTTATAGATACAGATAGCCCTGTAACTGCTCAACACCCTGGCCCCCGTGCTTCCACAAGCAACACCAAAGCTGCTTTGAGTAAGTGCGTTTTTCAATCTCATAAGATTTATTCATGATATTTGCGAGTCATTGCCACCCTATGGCTATGGAAATGTATGAGCACACTGTATGCGCGGCGGCCGCGAGCGTCTGTGTGTTTGCATAGACCTGCATGGTTGTGCATGTGTGCACCATACGCATGTATGAACATGCACATGCATATGCGCTCATGTGGACGTGCCCTCGCACACATACTATACACACGTGCATGACCGCTCCCAGGGCATGTTGGTGTGACATGTGTATGGGGGCATCTCCACTCATGCACATGAGTGTGCACATGCATGTGGGTGGGTAC